CAGCCAGCCTGAATGGTACTCTTAGCAACAGCTCTGGGTCTCTCATCAACTAATGCATGTCTGGCTCTCTTGCATCAGGCGATCCCTATCTGGCTGGCTGCCATGTCAGGTCCACATTCTTCCCACCACTAGACTCAAGTCAGCACCCCTAGAAATGGAAAAGATCCCCATTCACCCAGGGGTACATCTGGCAGTTTGGGAGAATCCAGAAGTTTGGTGGCTTTCCATAGAAGATGCAGAATGCAGTAGGGAATAGAAACGGTGAAGCCAGCCATTCTGAAACACCTGCTGGTCTTGGTGGATGCCCCCAGGTAGTAGAAGGGACCACCTCCTGGCAGCCACTACTTTGGAACTTATCTGAACTCTATCTTCATTCTACATGGGCGCTATGATCCCCACTTCACACCGAGTTCACTGGGCTTTAGAGCCTGTCTTCCCCGAGACAGAGTGAGCTGTCAGTGGTAAGATCTACCCACAGGTCATCTTTGTCATCCCGAGACCTTTCGGGCATGGAACACAGTTGACACAACTGAGCGACCCCTTGCCCCCTGCTCTTCAGTCCCATAGCAAAGACTGTAACACTGGGAGTTAGAAAGGCCCACGGACAGAACTCAGGGCCATCAACTGTGTCTTCTGCTCTTCCGCATTACTCGTGAGGTGAAAAGCCTCTCTTCTGTTTCCTTGTATTTTCTTTGAAAAAACCCCATTTCCAATGCGGTGCAGATTTCCCAAAAACTCTAGGCTTTGACACACACCCTGTACTTTCTCTGTTGTACCCTCTGCTGTAATCTCCTGCTCTTCTACACGGAGCCTCTTACACCCCACACCTCACGATTGGCCTTTCCTTGTGTTTGGCTTGTCTTCTAAAATGGACTGGAGGCAGATTCCCCCCGCCCTGCCCCCACAAGTGCACAGTGAGATGGGAGTTGGGTGACCCCGGCAGAGTAACCCATGGCAGCTGGATAAGAGACTTCATTCCGAGTTTCTTCATGAGTAGGGCAAAAAGGGAAACGGAAAATGAAGCATTTCTTACTTAGAAAAGTGGGAACTAGAGCCAAGGAACACGAGGACTTCTGAGCTCTAAGCCTAAGTCTTTAAAGGTACAGTATCTCGCCGGGCGGTGGTGGCCCACGCCTTTAATCCCAGCACTCGGGAGGCAGAGGCAGGTGGATCTCTGTGAGTTCGAGGCCAACCTGGTCTCCAAAGCGAGTTCCAGGAAAGGCGCAAAGCTACACAGAGAAACCCTGTCTCGAGAGGGGGGGAAAAAAAAAAGGTACAGCATCTTAAATTGTGAACCATGCAAAACTGAGCTTGGGGGTCATGCAAAATGCGGTGAGGATGAAGTTTCTGAATGACTGCAAGGTTAATGACTCAGGTGTTTCTGGCAGCTCGCACCTGTGCTACACCACCTGTCACTGCGGCCTGTTTGTGAATGTGTGCGCCTAGTGGGCACAACCCAGCAAGCCAAGTGGCTCACCCCTAGACACCTCAGCTCAGGTCCCAGACTAACTGCTGAGTTTTGACTGGATGTAGTTTTTCTGCTCTTACATGAACATAATGGTTTAATTACAGAAAACAAAGTCTATCAACAGCATACAAACTTACTTGTGATAAATGTTAAATTATATAACAGGATTTTTACTTGTTTGTATTGTGTACACGTGTGTGCACACGCTTGTGGAGGTTAAAGGTCAGTAGCAGGTGCTCCTTCCCAGGAACACCTTTTTAAAAGTGATTTCAAAGTATGTGTGCTGTGTCTGTGTGGTAGGTACATGGGGGTGTTGGTGGAGACTCTGGAGCTGGAGTCACAGGCAGTTCTGAGACACCTGAAGTGGGTGCTAGAAACTAAAGTTGTGTCCCCTGCAAGAGCAGTAAGAACTAACAGCCACAAGTGCCATCTCTCCAGCTGCCCTCCCCTTCGGTGAGACAGCGTCTCTTACTGGAACCGGGGGCTCACCTGCTAAGCAGGGCAGGGTAGCTAATGGGCCCGAGATCCTGCCTGTTTCCACCTCCCAGCACTGGGGTCACAGGGGCGTCCCCCCACGCCCAGGATTTCACCTGGGGGCTGGATGTGGAACTCGGGGCTCACAGCTTTCACAGACACTTACTGGCCGAGCTAGCTCTTCGATCCGAAGAACTGGTTTTAAAACACTTATGATCATCAGTAAATGTCCAACTTTGTTTGAGCCTTTCTTTCTTTATTTTTAGGTTAGAACTCATGTAGCTCAGGCTGGCCTCAAACTTGATAGCTGAGGATAACTTTAAATTCCTCATCCTAGGCCGGGTGATGGTAGTGTTCACCTTCAGGAGGCAGAGGCAGGTGGATCTCTGTGAGTTCAAGGCCAGCCTTGTCTACAAAGTAGATTCCAGGACAGCCAGGGTTACACAGAGATACACTGTCTCAAAAAACCAACCAACCCCCCAACGCCCCGCCAAAAAAACCCCAACAAAACCCCAAACAAAAAATCCTCCCTGCCTCTCCTTCCCAAGCGCAGTGATTACAGGGGTGGCGCAGCCCACAGACTGTTTCAGTGTCTACTGACTTTCTACAGCCGGAGAGTTAGTCCTGTGGAAAGGAGCTGCAGGGAGAAATGCTGTGCAGCTCTGCTCTAAGGACTGTACAGCGGGCTTTCCCACTCCAGAGCAACTTTAAGAGCAGCTCTGCTCGCCTGTAGGCCTGAGGGTTATCTGCCCAGCATCTATGCCTGGTCTTGGCCTCCATCCCCACCTCCTCCCTCCCAGGGCACTTTCACCAGGAGTAGGCATGTCAGTGATCCTCCACAAGGAAGTTCATCATCACACAATGCTAGGGCAGCCTGAGCCGCCAGCAGTGGAGTGCTCTCTCAGGAGTCATGAAGAACACAGTGCCACCAGACACGTGAGCTAGAGCCAGCACACACCCTCCTGTGCCGCTTCTTCCAAAACCAGAGGCAGGCAAGCCAACTCCTCTCACCCACTCTGGCCCTGCTGGAATCCGGGTGGTCATAGGAGCTCTGAGCCAACAGCAAAGAAGCCAGCGATCCCCAGAGAACTGTAACATGGACCAGGCCTTACCTGTGGTGACGTGACTCCCAAGTCCTTCACTGTGACATGTGCATGGACTCCTCTTTTCATCATTCACAGCTTGGAGCCGTTTCTGAACCAGGAGTGTTTGAGAAACTTTTCTCCATCCTCAGCAAAGCGTCAAAGCAGCCAGCATGGTGGCAGGACAGAGCGCCAGCCTGGCTGCCTCTCGTTTTACCCTTCCCAGATGTACGCATGTCCAAGTGTACAAAGGCCCCATGGAGATGGTAACAGAACCTACCTTTTCAGGGCTGAGGACAAGCACACACCCTCACACACAGTACACGTTCTATACATTAAGCTATTGGTTATGAAAATTCTGCACACAACCTTAGCGGTTCACTACTAGGGGAGCTTCAGGTGAACAATCCTCAGCCTGGCTCCTGATGCCCAGGAAGATAACGGTTTTCCCAGATGCCTACATTTTCTCTTGGAACTCCCTTGTCCCTTGCTAGCCACGCTGACCCACAGGAGCATCCTGCGTTAGGAGAAGTGAGCGCACGAGCAGACAGGGACCATTCCACTCTCCACCTGGGCAAGAAAGGCTGTCCAGTGTCTTGTGGCAAATGACTCACCAAGTCATCTTCTGAGGCTGCTCCTTGTCCACTTAGCTATTGGTGATACTCTGTACACAAGATCCTAAGAGGCGACACATATCCTGGTCCTCAGAGCTGGCCGTGGCTGCGCATAAGAGCTCGTGCTAAGGAGGACCTTCTTGCCTACACAGCTGCACAAGTCACTGGATCACTTCAGCAATGTCACGGGACAAACCCATGCTGGAGTGTTCCAGCTGTGCCTGTTTGTGAGACACAGGCCCGCTTCCTCAGTCACTCAGTTCCTCACCTGTAAAACAGGAGGCTGGTTTCACTGCATGTCTTAGTGAGGGTGGCATGAGCGGGGTGCAGGGCATGAGGCCTGGGCACAGTATTTGGTACCATGTCAGTCCTCGGAGTAGAGCTGATTCTTTTTTCATCACTCCTGATACGTGGTGAAGGAACCAAGGTCCAAAGCAGCACATAGTTCATTCTGACTTCGCTCTGTTTATCCTTCCTGGCCATACTGTGCCATTTTCCAGGTCGGTCTGACAAGACACTTTTTCCAAATTGTACATGACAACCAAAAGCCAAAAAATTTTAGACATCCAAATAGCCCAGAGAATGCAAAGATTTGACACCTCGAGGCAACTCCAGAGATGGGACATGGAGGGGTAGAGGGGGCTGACTCAGTGAGCACAGAATGTCATATTCCAGCAAGTCACAAGATGCCTGAAGGACAGTGGCACTTCCAGCCTAGTTCACTCTGGTTTCGGGAATAGCAGCAATTTCTCAGAAACCTCACCAGCAAAGGCAGCTATCCAAGAGTGAGAACTTCGGTCAGCACCAATGGCTTAAGATCACTTTGCTGGGAAGTAAACGGATTTCAAACAGGTCGCACAGAGTGGCTACTGAGGGTGCTAACAGTGGTAGCTGGAAGGTAGCCAGAGACGTGGCTTGGGCAACAGAAGCACAGGCTTGCCAGGCAGTGGACAATTATCCAGCCCAGCAGGAGGCAGATGTTTGTCTGTGTATGCTCTGACCTAACATTTATCTGATGCCTGCTATGTGGTGGGCACCAAGCCAAGGACTGGCTTCTTATAAACTTGTTTAATGCCATAAGTCCTAGAAGACAGCACAAGACTTTCAGGTGGACAGGAGGAAGTATGTGGCTAACCACTGGAGTCTGTCAGCCACCACCAGATGAAGCTGCTTTGTCTGGCTTAAGAAAGGCCTGCATAGGAGCTGATGGCTACAAGGACGCAGCTCCTCTTAGGAGAATCCATGTGTACTTCCCCATGACACTGTGTAACCACCATGAATGGGATGGGCTTTAAAGAGGTCCAGAATTCGACGTTTTTTGTCTTGTAGTTCAGACTTCTTCAAAAAACGCCACAACAGGGATACAAATTTTCAACATACTTTATTGACTCAGGGGCCAAACACGGCAGCATTTGGTCAGTTAGGAAGGCACCTCATTGGAAAATACATCACAGTGTTGTCAGGTGATCCCAGTCACAGGATTTGAGGATGAGACGGACAATCTTTGGATGATTTAGCTTAAGACATTTTAACTTTTGTTTCCCCTTCACTGTTGAGGACTGAACCCAGGGCCTTGTAATGCTAGGCCCACACGTACCACTGGACTACGATCCTAGCCCTCGTTCACTAACTGAAAAGGGTCCCGTGGATGAACAGAGGCAACATTGTAGGACTAGTGTGTACTGAGTGGCCGCTGAGGCTTTACTGCAGGAGCAGGTGACTGTAAGTGGTTAAGAAGTGTGGGCTCTATCTCCTCTTGCTCCCCACAATTCCAGTAAAAATGATTTGCTGAACCACCCCCACCTCCTCCACACGTGCAGATGAGTCTTTAACTTTCCGGAAAGGGACGCCACTGGTAGCAGCCCTCAGCTCCTCCTGCGCACAGGACACACAGGCCCAGTCTGATGGCTGAATTCTTGGCTTGGTGATCGATCCATGAGCTTCTTACATAGAAGCTGAGGTCTCTTAAGAGCATTAGCTTTGTGGTCCAGAGTAAATGAAAGCTCGATGGCTTAAAAAATAATACCTTAGCTCCTCATTTGCACCAATGCCCTCCGATCACAGTTTTTTAAAAATTAATCTTTTCCTTTGCTTATACTTTACAAATTCCCACCTATGTGTTTAAGAAAAATCTTTCTAATTACAACACTGCCACGTTCCAAATGCTCGTCTTGAGCCCCTCACCACCTCCCTCTCCATCCTTCCTTTCCGTGACCACCCCTTTCCCTTCTGCCCAGCACCTAAGAGCAGGGATCACGCGGCGGGGAGATGAGCAGGGTGTAGTCTCGCCTGGCCTTCTTTTACTAGGCTGAAATAGAGAGGAAACAAGAAAGAACAAAATGGATTTTAAAAAAACCAAGTAAATATCAGGGAAGGGTGGCATGCAACCAATCGCATTAAACACTGGACACTTCTCTGCCAGGTGAAAGCTCGCATGCCCGATGAGGTTATAACTCTGCAATTAAAGCAAAAATACAATCCCAGGCACCACCAATGAGCATCTGTATCCTTATGGTTTCCAGCTCTTACCTGAAGCCCAAATGTTAACAGCCATTTGTGTATGTGCACACATGAATACACGTGTGTGTGTGTGTGCATAGATATATATATGGACAGGTGGGCAGATGTCTGTGCACAGATCACTCACATTCAATTAGCAACCACTTGGGGGGTCTGTATTTAGAAGCAAGTGCCTGCAGCTACTCCCAGTCAGGGAAAGTCAATGGTCAGACGCATGAGCCACCCTCACTCTGGCCCAGCTGGTGGTTTTGGTTTCACTCCTCTCCTTCACCCATTCCCAGCAGTCATGTGCTTTCCAGAAACACACAAAGCCAGACTGGGTTTCTGTTAAGAGCAGACAGAATTTAAAGCCAAGGAAACAAGGCAGGGCAGCAGCAGCAGCAGCAGCAGACGCTTGGAGGCCAAAAGGGAAGCAAGATGGCCACATACCATGGAGTTCCCATGTGGACTGAGGACTTTGGAGCCAGCAGGTTACGCCGAGGCAGGCGCCAATATTTACTGGTCATGTAAGTATTTCTAATGGCTGTTCCAGAGGCCGAAGGCTTTGAGGTCTCGTCACAGCAGCCTCCTATTTTATCTGTTACAAATCACCCCAGACCAAAGGCACAGCACAGACCATAGGACATTCATAATAGTGGGAGCTAAGGTTACAAACAAAAGCTTGTTTTGGTCATGCATGGCCTTGTTTTTGAGCAATCTTTCCATGGGGAGCCTTGGTTACCAATCATGGAATATGGAGTACAGGGTTACATTTGAAAGGGACACATCTGATTTGGGATTTATATATTGTGTTTGAATAAATTTTTGATGGGAATGAATCCAAAAAGAGACTATCCTCAATCACTGGTTCATCCCTGGAAGCACGCAAACAAAAACAAATCTTCCTCACTGGGTCTGTCTCTGGGGAACTAGATTGGGCCTCTCTCAGGTACCTAGTCCTAACGTTCAAAGTCATCTGAATCCCAAAGGACCCGCTACCTGCCTTAATTCTTTGACAACAACTCACTGTTTAACGGAAGTCCCAGGAGGTCTCAACTTTATAGCTCTGTGATGTGGGTCACAAAAATTTGCCTGCTCTTCCGTGTGGATGTCCTACCCTATTAATTGCTGGAATCCAGTTTGTCTTTAAAATTCCATTGAAGGAGGAAAAGATTACTGATCCCTGTGCATCCACTGACTCGTGGCTTTTGTTTCCTGTTGAGAATGTGCATCAGGAGCTGTGACACTGACTGACTTCATGTGACTTTAGACTTGGAACCAGATGCTTGTTACCGGTAAGTACTTACGAGGCTTTGTACCTGGGGTGCCTGGGAGATAAATACTCAACAGTTCATTTTGGCCGAAAAAACAGAATTAAGAGTGTGGCTAAGGGAGATTTTATGTGTGTGCGGGGGTGAGGTGGGGTGGGGTGGGGGTTTACAACACAGGAAGGGGGTTATAGGGCAAGAGGGGGAACAAAATCTACTAAAACACATTTTGTTAAAAAATGTTATAATGAAGCTGGGCATAGTGGTGTATGCCTTTAATCCCAGCACTCAGGAGGCAGACAGGCAGATCTCTGAGTTTTTTGCCAGCTTGGCCAATATAGTGAGTTCCAGGACAGCTGGAGATACAGAGACCACCTCAAAAGAAAAAAAAAAGGCCATAATGATATCTAATACCTTGTGTGCTAATTTTTAGAAATGATAAAAAGAAAAGTATGGGTAAGAAAAGGAAACAGCTGGTAAAACAACATAGCCCGAGATACAGAATTGTAAGAGCGAGCACACACTCATACCAAACACACACAGACGAGCGCTGCACATACATGAGATACACCAAGTAAGTGCTTTTTAATCAGTACATTAGATCCCCTGCTGCCTGAAGGAGGAAGTGTCCTGCCTCCCTTGCCACGCCCACCCATCCTTTAACAGGACAGAAAGAAGAAAGAAATTCCTTTGAGACCCCAACATTAAATAAACATAACCAAGTCTTTACATGTAGCTTTGGAGAAGGCTGCTAGGATGCTCGCAAACACGACGTCAGGGGTCTGGCACGCATCGATGGCACAGTGAATGCCCCGTTTCCTGTAGTACTCCACGAGCGGGGTGGTCTGAGTGTGGTAGGCCTCTAGGCGGATCTTCAAGGCCTTCTCATTGTCATCTGACCTGCGGATCAGGGGCTCTCCAGTGATCTGAGAATGGAAAGGTATGAACGGCGGGACTGTCACGAGAAGTGTCCACTCTGCCAGGATGCTGGCTGATCCCACAACCTGTTCAAGGCAGGAGACTCCAGAAATAGCAATGCTTTTTGCTAGCTATTCTGTGCTCAGGCTGTTCAACTTCTAACACAAGCCCTTCTGGAGCTGGAAGGAGAGGGGACCAGGAGAGTACACCCCAATCAGCTGCATTACAACTGCAGTCTTAGCTGCGTAAGTATTTAGCATAACTAGTTAGTGAGCAGCACCCACTCACACCGTAAAAGCGGCAAGGGAAGTGAGGAAGGACTCTGGTACAACTGTCGACTTTCTGAACCGTGGCTGTATTTACAGACCCTGGACGGCCTACACTTGTCTCCCATGAGCAGGGGAAGCCCCGGAAATTTTCCACTGTTGTCCGTGTGTTCTACAGCAGACCGTGAAAACTGGGACCACGGATGAGACCCCAAGAGCAGGGCATTCTGGAGCACAGCAGTCAGCAAAGTTCTGTTCAGTGACACCTCCTGGTGACATTCTCCCACCTGGACAACTGCTTAGACGGCCATGGTGCCGAGAAGGGGCTGTTACCAGCCATCTCATTTACAAGACAGCGATATATTTTTCTGGTTAAGTGATGGAAGGAGGGAACAAACAAACCAAAAAAACTCAAACAAACCCCTTCCTGTCCCGAGTTTACATACATCATCTTTCATGGGCTCCTTTGGAGGGTTGAACTCCTCATGGTAGGACCGGCCACTCTTGGGGTGAATCAGCCTGCAAGATAGCAATGACTGTGAGTCAGGCTGCCCGGAAATACCTCTGCACTCAGGGGACTTTGGAATGACAAGCGGAGAATGGAAGACTTTAATCAGCAGAGAACCCAGCAAACACCTCACACCTCGGAAAATAACCGGCTCTCTAGCAGAAGACCAGCCATTACTACCTCTTGTTTAGGAAAATAACTAAGGCCATTACCCTGCCTATCTATGGTAATAGGCATGCATAAGGAGAGCTGCTGGCAGAACTACCTAGTCCGGCCTGAGGAGGACCCTGATGGTCCGCACACACAGCCATACCTACTTCCTAAAGAAGTTCCTAGTTAAAACCAGATCTTACCAAGTGATGGGTCACGACCTCTGCGACAAGCAGCACTCAGCAGAAAGCAAGAGCTCCAACACGACAGTGCTTACAAGGTTTGTACCAAGTGTTGGGGAACAGAAGACAGAAATGAACCCCGGTCTTTTCTGCTTTTTGTTTTTTTTTTTAAAGACAGGTCTTGGTATGTGGCCTACACTGGACCTGAGCTTAAGCTACTTCTGCACCAACCCCCAAATGTCTTAGATCACAAGCATGTGCCTGCCTGTGCTGTTTTCTAACCTAATTTGGTTATAAAGCAAACACATAAAAGCATGTTATGGATATGCAGACGATGATGCACACCTCTGTGACTACACAGATAAATGACAGCGTAAGCAGGGCTAGGCAATGTCCAAGCCACTAAGAGAAAGGACGTATTAAGCCAATCGTGAAGATGGACTCTGTAGTGCATGCCTGTGTCTCAGCTACCAGGGAAGCTGAGGTGGAGGAACCGGTTACTTTGGCTCAGGATTTTGACAACAGTTTAGGCAACATAGTCAGGCTCCATCTCAAACAAAGAAGTTGGGTGTGGTGGCTCCTACCTGTGATCCTAGGACTTGGGGAAGCTGAGGTGGGAGGATTGACTCCCATAGGTCAAGGCTAGCCTGGGCTACATAGTTAAGAGCCTGTCTCCAAAAAACAAAACACAAAATACCCAAAACAAACAAACAAACAAACAAACAAAAGCCGAAGTAAAATAAAAGCAAAAGCAGGGAGAAGGGCGGGCTTATCAGCACTCTCCACCAAGCCTGGTGACCTGAGCCAATCCCTGGGACCCACATGCTAGAGAGAACTGACTCTTTCTGTTGTTGGTTTTTCGAGACAGGGTTTCTCTGTGTAGTTTTAGTGCCTGTCCTAGATCTCACTCTGTAGACCGGGCTGGCCTCGAACTCACAGAGATCCATCTGCCTCTGCCTTCTGAGTGCTGGGATTAAAGGCGTGCGCCACCACCGCCCGGCCGAGAACTGACTCTTTTGGTCTCTGCCTGTGAGCTGTAGCACACATGTACATAACCCAACACACACCATAAATAAATACAATGTATACAAGGCAGGAGAGATGGCTCAGCAGTTAGGATCTGAGTTTAAAGAACACCCCCCACACAGCAGCTCACAACTACCTGTGACTCTCCAGCTCCTGGAATCAAGACATCTCACCTGTGGCCACCTGCACTTATGTGCACATACCCACACACAGACACTTTATTAAAAATGAAAAAAAAATCTTAAAACAACAACAACAATTAAACAGCTGGGCAGTGGTGGTGCACAAAATAAACAAACAAACAAACAAACAGACAGAAACAGTGAGCTCAAGAGCAGGCACTGTGAACATGGCTGGTGGCTGCAGCTGTGCTGACCCCTACTAGGCAACAAGCCTGTGTTCGGGATTGGGGAACCTGGAAAGTCAACACGAGGGGCAGGCCGCACTCTGCAAGAGGCCAGTGCTGGCTTGAGTTGTGTACTCTCTTCTTTGTTACTGGGTGGGTGTTCTTTGTTCGTCTGGTTTTTGAGACAAGGTCTCTCTCTGTAGCTCTGGCTGTCCTGTAACTTGTTATGTAGACCAAGCTAGCCTCAAATTCAGGGTGACCCACCAACCTCTGTCTCCTGAGAGCAGGGATTAAAGGTATGCACCACCACCACCCCTGGCAATCGTACTTTCTTAATTTCCCCTCTAACCGATAGCTTGTCTCTCCTGAAAGTCTGCCCAATCAGAGCTTCCAACCACCTCTTGGCTTTTGGTGTGCCTGTCCCTTCTGTGGGAGCAAGGACTCTTCTAGGCCTTTCCAGTGGCTCAAGGTTGGGGAAATCCTATTTGGTCTGTCATATGAGAGATTCTATTTATACTATCGAAGTCCTATCCACAAGATGTGATACTGCATTTTAATCACAGTGTATTTGGGGGAGACAAGACGACTCATTTCCACTGACTAAGGCGGTAAAGTGCTAACTAACAGCAAGGGCCAAGGTCACAGCACAGAAAATCAGTTATAGTGGAGAGTGAGTAGGCTTGTGACAGCAACTACTTATGGTGAAGCTGTGTCCTACATTATTTGAGCCCTGAAAACAGAAACAGTATCCAGTAGGAGGCCTGTGGAGAGGGAGAGCACTGGCCACTGGCTCAGCCTCAGCACCTCTGGAAAGGACTAAGTACAAACAAATGACCATCGGCATTTCTTTAACTTCTGGAGAACAGGGGGCAGCTAAGAGCCAGGCGCCAACAAATAACAACTCTCTCCTCTCCATGTCCCAGGCTGCCACTCCAAACCACTCAGATTCCCTCAGCTCTCCGATCATATTGACCTGTAGCACGACACTTCAGAGCAGGGGTTCTCAGCCTTCCTAATGCTGTGACCCTTTAATACAGTTCCTCGTGTTGTGGTGACCCCAGCCATGAAATTATTTCTGTTGCTACTTCATAATTGTAATTTTGCTACTGTTAGGAATCGTACTGTAGCCGGGCGGTGGTGGCGCACGCCTTTAATCCCAGCACTCGGGAGGCAGAGACAGGTGGATCTCTGTGAGTTCGAGGCCAGCCTGGACTACCAAGTGAGTTCCAGTAAAGGCGCAAAGCTACAGAGAAACCCTGTCTCGAAAAACCAAAAAAAAAAAAAAAGGAATCGTACTGTAAATAAATATCTGTGTTTTTTGATGGTCTTAGGTGACCCATCCCTGTGAAAGGGTTGTTTGACCCTCAAAGGGTTGAGACCCACAGCTTTAGACCTTTGTTTCTTCATCCACAAAAGGGAGTTGCTACCGGACTTGGGGCAGTGTTACAGGAGCCAACTGGTAAGATGATTACTACACCAGAGTGCCAACAGCAAACGCGACAAAGGAGAACTCAAACCATTATGAACAAATCCTCAAAAAACAAAACAAGTGACAGTCATATGAACTGAGGTCATAGCTAGTTCAAGACTGTTATGGTGCCGGGCGGTGGTGGCACATGCCTTGAATCCAGCACTCGGGAGGCAGAGTCAGGCAGATCTCAGTGAGTTCGAGGCCAGCCTGGTCTACAGAGTGAGATCCAGGACAGGCACCAAAACTACACAGAGAAACTCTGTCTTGAAAAACAACAACAACAACAACAACAAAAACACAAAAAAAAGACTGTTATGGTAAGATCCTTAAGTCTCCATCCAGTTCCTGCCTTATGCTCTTCCACCCATCAGCAAGGCAGAGTAGGAGGCAGAAAGCACGTTTGAGGTACTAGTCCTACCCACACCTGCTGAGTGAACTTGGACAAACCCCTCCCTCCCTCGTCTGGCAGATCCGTGAGGCGTGGGTCTAAGGAGGAGCCACACTAACTACATCATTTCTGAACTAGGGATCAGGTCTCCAGTCCTCCCTCCACCGTCATCCTGCAGCTTGTTCTTAGAGTCTCACCCTGCTCCCTAGCTGGTCAGAAGTCTCTATCATTCATGTGAATATGAGCAGGCTCCCAGATAGGGTCCTTATCTCTCTCCCCCACCCCCAAATTACAGTCAGCACCAAGGTAATGTTTTTAGAATGCAGCTTTTGCACCAATACCCAGTGGCTCCAGCTCCTGCGATGACTCCTAAACTCTGTCAAGCCCATGCTTCTTGGCGCTGCAGATCTCCATCGGAACCCATCCTTTCTTCCCAATTTCACTCATTTTGCCCCTGCAGCTCCCAAAGCATGGCTCCTACCGTGGGTCAGCTAGTCTACCACAGGCCCCAGCCTGAGCCCTTCCCCCAACCAATGCTCATTCCTGCTTCCACTCCCTTCTGGGAAAGCACCGCTGAAATTATCCTCAGTCAACTCCACGCTGTTGGCATACCTCCCAGGCTCTCTTTTCTCTGCCGCACCAAATGGTCAGAACCACCCAAATTTCAGACACGACTCTATGAGATCAGAAGCAGACGTCACTGTGCTATTCTTCCAGAGCTTGCCATGGTCTTCAGCCCTGGGGTATGGCTTGATGTAGAAGCAGGTACCCAGGATGCTGACCTCATCAAGCTAAAGACCTCCAGTGTCACTGGCTCTGTTATTGCCTGCTCTGCACCTCAAGGATGCCAAGCCTAGGGATGTCCCTTACTGTCAACCCCACTGCTGCTTGGTCTACATCAATTTTGTCTACTTCATATCCAAAGGGATTATAAAGAAACACAAGTCTCTGTTGTGGAGAAGTCTATGAAATAGATGGAAACATTAAAAAAAATGTAAATTTCAAAGGAAAATTGTGGGGCGTTTACCCACCAACCCCACAGCTCCCCAGAGTTTTCTTGAGTGTGAGCAGCAGGAAATAGTAGATAGGATTTAGAGTGTAGACATAAACAGATAGAAAATAAAGGATAGCCTCAAGAGGGCCTGGAACCTATTCCAAGGAGCCCTAACTGGCTCTGCCCCAGGGTATTTATAGAGACGCCAAGGGGTGGAGCAAAAGACCCCACCCCTCCACCCCCAGCACAGCCAAGTGCAGACCATCCCAGACACCTGCACTCAGGCCGGTGGTCCTAATCATCCTCTATGCAGACCTGCTGGGTAAAGCCACGAGGAACCTGAAAATGGGCTCCCACAGAAAATTAATGTAAAGTGGATTTGAATTTACCCCTTACAGGATAACACGTCTCACACTGTTATCTATTCATATCTGCTTTCTCCTTAAAGGTATGATTATAGAAACACAAAAAAATGTACAGCCTCATTAGGAAATCTAAGTAATACTCTAATAAAACAAGACAGTTTTCTTCCTAATTAAATATAAAACTTACACACTCCTTTAACAGTAGCAGCATTAACTAGAAGAAACAGTTGTATGCCAAAAAGGGACTAACACAGAATGATTTATGGAATACTGTGAAGTACCACACAACAATCCAAACTATGATCATGAATGTCCAAGACAGCGGGCTGACTACCTTCCAGAGGGTCATTAAAATGACCAAGACGTGAAAAAGCTGCATTCCTTACAGGCAATTCAGTACACCAGGTTCCTTTACCGGCCTTCACCGGTGCACTCAGCCCGCTATTAATGGATTCCCTCAAGGGGCTTTTACAATATGTCCTCATGAGGTCCCCAGTCTAGGCTCTGGACAGACATGGGGGTGGGCTTTGAAAAGTCCCAGGGTTCACATTGGTCAGGTCATCAAGAACATCTGTGCTTGGCCGCAGACTAAGGACCATAGGATTGAGGCCCTGAACAGGACCAAGTTCAAGTTCCCTGGCCACCAAAATCTGTATCTCAAAGTGGGCCTTCACCAAATTTAATCCAAATGAATGGAGTAGAGAGAAACCATGGCCTGAAGCAGTGAGGATTTCTCAGCAAACTTGCTCAGAAGCATTTCTATGTTTGACACTATTTCAGAGAAATAAATAAGAAAAACAAGCTGTACTATGAACCAAAATTTCTTTCATTAAAAAAAACCAAGGGTGGTGGTGGTGACGAGATGGCCCGGCAGTCAAGAGCACAGGATGCTCTTCCAAAGGACCCCAAAAACCCCAAAACACAAAGAAAAGGGGAGAGGAGGAGGGCGGGAGAGGAGGCTCAGTGGCTAAGATCACAGGCCGCTCTTCAAGAGGACCCAGGTTCAATTCCCAGCACCCATATGGTGGCTCACAACCATCTGTAAACCCAGAGGTCGGAGAAGACAGGAACAAAACAGTATTTTCTGGGCATAGTAAGAAGCACTGTACTCCTGAACTCACAGCACAAGACCCACACAAGATCAACCAGTCAACATTCTAGCATGGAGCAGGAGGGGCGCACGAAGCCCCTACTCTAACTGAGGAGCTATGAAAGTCAGCTTTCTTTAAGGGTATGGCCCCTGGTAGGCTGAGCCCCTCTCCAGCGGATGACCGCATATCCATAAACACACGAGCAACACAAATTGGACTTGGTGTTTATCTCATTATTAAAAGGGAAAAAGGTTTCTAAGGTAGACGGATGGATCTGGGAGGAATGGGATTATGTATGATCAAATCGTATTGTATGAAATTCACAAAGCGTTCATTAAAAACATAATATTATACAATAATAAACCCAAAAAGCAACATGCCTAGACAGGGATGTCGTCTGACTCTGAATCCCTTGCTCTTGTCTCTATGCCCCCACTCATGTTACCACATCAGTGGACACTGATATACAAGATGGAAACATCCTGAAACAACACCAAGCTTCTGCTCCACAGAGCTCTGAGGAAGCATGAAGGGATCTTTGGGGATGCGTACCTTCCAGTGATCCTCCGGATTAGCAGGGAGTCTGGAATGCTGAACTCAATCACTGAATCAAGCTTCTCTTTCCTCTTCTCCATGAGGTCATCAAGCTGCAAAAGAGCGTGGGACCCACCTAAGCTCAATCAGCCCCATCTCCTTCAGAGTAACTAATGTAAAGGGCCAGCATCGCCTTCGTGTGACAGCCACACAAACAGTACCCACCATTTCAGCCTGTCTCACAGTCCGGGGGAAGCCATCTAGAAGAAAGCCATTTTTGCATGAAGGACTCTCCAAATTCTTCTCAATGAGCTCCACAACCATCTCATCACTCACCTACAAGAAGAGAGCCTTGGGTTCAAGTCTGCCAACTAGGTGATATATCCCAAACACAAGCTCAATGCTCAATGTGTATATGTATGTATGTATGTATGTATGTATGTATGTATGTACGTATGCATGTATGTATGTATATGACTTGGTTTCTAAACAGCCAGTCAGCTTGACTCTATAGTAGCAAAAGCAGAGTAAATGTGGGGTGCCTCCATGATGGTCTGGCTCTTAAATGCACCCCCTTGAAGCTCATGTATTGAAGGCCTGATCTCCAACACTGTATTTTTAAACTTTATTTTACTATGTACACATGAGGGGAGGGAGGAGGGCACATGTACCATGTGACTTGGAACCACCACTTCTCGCCTACCTTTACTGGGCTCAGCACTGCATAGGTAATCAGACATGAGCAGACACTTTTACCTGCTTGGCCACTTTGCTTGAGTGAGTGTGCACTCCTGTTCAGTCTCTCTCCACCTCTATCAGGTGTGGAGCTTTGCTCTAACACACACCTACCACAAGAGTTCAATACAGGCTCAGAAATACCAGCCCCCAGCAACCTTGGACTTCCTTCTTTAGCTGGTTTCTCTTCGGTATTTATCACAGTGATGCAAAGCTGACCAGTACAGACTCCATCTGCAACACTCACTTCCATAATCCTCTAGTGGCCAGATGTGTTCCTCCCCTTGAAACTCTAATGTGTTTCAATAAACTGGGCAGGGGAAGAGGAGCCCATAGCCTGTTGCTCCAGCAGGACAGCTCCATGTCTTAGGTCCTTTGGGGGCATCTTCTGCCAGGAGCTGGTTAACCATCACATAACAGCTTATCAGCAACAAGCTGTCTTCAAGATGATGAGGGTACATGGCAGAGACATTACCCGGGAACCAGGAGAGAAGACCAGTTTGACTAGAATATAGGGATGGACCAACTATTCCTGATTCACAAGTTCATAGACTAACAATATCATGATTGATATGTTGACCTGATTTTTTTTTTTAGATTTATTTATTTATATGTATACAACATTCTGCCTCCATATATGCCTGCATGCCAGGAGAGAGCACCAGATCTCATTATAGATGGCTGTGAGCCACCATGTGGTTGCTGGGAATTGAACTCAGGACCTCTGGAAGAGCAGCCAGTGCTCTTAACCTCTGAGCCATCTCTCCAGCCCTGACTTGATTATTCATCTGGGCTGTCTAAGACATGAAAAAGAATTGCACTGAATTGGCAATATTGTATCAGAAACAAGGAACTGAAAAGCCAATACAATGTAGTCCAGGCCTCTCCAGAAAAATCCCACCAAAAATCTCTCACAGCATTAAACAATCTTTTCCCCAGGGCCTTTAAAGAGAAAAATTCCAGGCCGGGCGGTGGTGGCGCACGCCTTTAATCCCAGCACTCGGGAGGCAGAGCCAGGCGGATCTCTGTGAGTTCGAGGCCAGCCTGGTCTCCAAAGCGAGTTCCAGGAAAGGCGCAAAGCTACACAGAGAAACCCTGTCTCGAAAAACCAAAAAAAAAAAAAAAAGAGAGAAAAATTCCCACCTGTATTACAGTCCAAGCTGCCAACGTTGGCAGTCAAAGCTTTCATCTTCAGAGCCAGCTATGAACTTAGAGACAAAGTATAAACTCTGCAACCGATTGAAGGCTTGGAGATAAGCAATCACATTGCCACATCCCAATTTTCTCTCACAGAGAATTTTCTGCCAGAAACCAAAGTCCAAAACATCTATCTTTCCGGCTTGATTCATGACCTCACTGACATAAAGGGAAAGCCAGAAAGCAACGTGTGGGCAGACAGGTTGTGGTACCACTCAATACTGCTCTAGTATCTCCAGGCCTAACACGAGGAGACTTGGGGATAAAAACAAAGTTCAGATTTCAGCCAAATAACAAATAGAGACAGAAGGGACCAGAGAAACCAGGTGTGGTGGTCCACGCCTACAATCGTAACACCCGAAAGGCCAGCCTGGGACACACGGGAGTGCCAGGCCAACCAGGTAAACATGCCAAATCTTGCTTCAAAAACAAAACCAGGGGTGATTAGATGGCTCAGTGGGCGCTTGCCACAAAAGCCGGACAACCTGAGCCTGAACTCAGGCCCCACAAGGTGGAAGAAGAGAGCTGATTTCCAAAAGTTGTCCCCTGACCTCCACATGAATGCTGCAGCGGGCGAATGCACACACTGTTAAAAGTAGAATTGAGAAAATTAAAAACAAGAACAAAACAAAGGATCAGAGAAACTGCAATGTGGCTCACTTGCCTACTGTGTTCAAGAAGAAAATGACTTTTCAAAGTATTACCGAAGTCAGGGTCTAGAATTAAGTGGTAGAAGCAATACCTGGCCTAAGCGAAGACTTAGTTAATTCACTGTGCCTGTCAGATCAAACCAACTGCCAAATAGGACTACTTTTCTACAACGACCAAGTGACTCCCTTGTTAGAAATACAGAGCACTGGGCTGGGAGACAGCTTAGCCATTAAAAGCTAGGCTCACAACCAAAAATATAAGAAATACAGAGCAGTGAGCCACAAAAGAGCTTTAAAAACATTTCTGTGGTCTCCTAAATCTTCTTTTGCATACATCTTAGAGTCTTGTCCCAGGAACAGCCTTTCATTTTGTTATATTTAGTTTAGGTGAATTACAAAAAGTATTACAAAGTATCTTCAAGAATTCTGTGAACACATGGGAGGGGTTGGAGGAAGAAAAGGGAATGGGGGGGATGATATAATTATATATATACATATATTGTTTCTTTCTTTGTTTTGAGAAGTCTCACTGTATAGCCCTGGCTGACCTGAAACTCAAATTCAGAGACCCACTTGCTTGCTTCTCAGTGATGGGATTAAAGGTATATATGTCTGGCTGGTAGACACACACACACACACACCCTTAAATTTAAAAAATGTATTATTTCATGTTTAGTCTGCATGTATGTCTGTGCACCATGTGCATGCTGGTGCCTGCTGAGGCCAGAAGAGGGTGCCGGATCTCAGGGAACTGGAGTTACAAACAGTTGTAAGTTGCCATGTGGGTGTTGGCAATCGAACCTAGGTCCCTTGAAAGAGCAGTAAGTGCTCTAAACTAATGAGCCATCTCTCCAGTTCTTATAATTCTATTTTAATTTAAAAAAAAAAATAAAGAAAAAATAATACCATGAACAGGGCTGGCAAGACGGTTTTATGAGAAAAGTACTTGTCCATGCTCACAAAATAAAATTATATAAATAAATTGTGAACAAATAATAAATCCAGAGTAACCCAAATAATGTGCTCTGCTCAAAGCTCCTATTACCTGCCAGTCCATTAGAAATATCTCCACACAGGACTACCTCAGAAGACTATGATGGGGGAAATGTTCTGTGTCTGCACTGGCTGGTGAAGATTTCAAGAGTGTCTACGATGAATAAGGAAGCAAATGTTTGATGAAGTCAAAGCCAAGTAGCCACATTCGGCTGGGGACCACCATTCTGGACTCAGAAGAGCAGCACTCACAGGTATGAGCAAACCTACCAGTTTTCCAGCGTCCATCGTCGCCTTCAGCTTTTTCCCCAGCTCTGAACCTGAAGCCACCATGGCTCTCAGCATGTCCCCAGTGGCCAAATGGCAGACACAGAAGTTTTCAGCCAGTTTGGGTGCCTATGGAGCCAAAGACAGAAACCACAAAAGAGTCAACACTGCAGGCCCTGGGTACGGACCTGGCCCTGGCACTTACTTCCTTGTTTGTAACAGGAATAAACGCATCTTACCTTATATTCTAATGTAAAGCAATTATAGGGTTGCTGTAAGAATTCTATGATTACATGATATTGCATGTAAAGCACTTGGAATACACTTAGCACTCAGAAAGCTATCAGAAATACTAGCTATTCCATCTACTACATCACCGAAACACAAGCTCACGTTCCCTGTTATAATTGAGAAGAAACACAGCAGTCATGCAATACTTCATATAGCTGCTGTGACACTTAGACGAGCTCATTTTTATAAAGCAGACAGACCAAGGCCCGGCACACAATGTGCGGAGTATCTACCACAGGGTGAATGTGGTATGCTGTGGTATGCTCTGACTACTAGGCCTGGCGGCTGGGGCAGGCAAGGCCGACCTGCTGCAGTAGCTTGGCTAAATCGCTCACCTCACAGACCCAGAGCAGTTTCCACATCGGTTTACCATGAAGAACACGATCCACTCAGAAGTGGCTGTGAGGAAATATGCAGGCAGAGCATTTCTATAGTAATCACCTGCAGATCAGTTCTGGGAGGTGTTCTGGTGTGTTTTGTAACAGGGTTTTACTACGTAGCTCAGGCTGGCCTCATGATCCCGATCCCCTGCATTCTGAGGGGCTGGGATTACAGACAGATGTCTGCTCCTGCTGGCTCAATATGGTCTTTTGGCTAAGAGTGTGGGCTCAAGTCAAATCCCCCAAAACCTCAGTCCCTACCTATATGGCTTGAGGAGTTACTTCTCTCTAGGTTTGAAATCTCTAAGTAAAATGGAGGGTAGTAATACTGTATCACTGAGCCCATAAGGATTCTACACAGAACTGGCTGGAATATGCAAAGTGCAGCAGGTAGATCCTCAGTGAGCATTAGCTGTTACAGCAACCTCTGCCCCAGTTCTGTTTATTCAGACGGAAATGAAATATTGGCTTGTGCTCTTCCATGAACCCTGGAGCCAAGGAAACCGAGGAATAGGAGACATAGATCCCAAAGCTCACCGACTGCTGGAATAGACACAGTTCAATGGTAAGGCACACACAAGGTCCCCTATCACCACACACGTTTAGCTTTTCCCACAGTGACATCAAACAAATGCACACGCTCAGAGTCTGGAGGACTTTAAATGGAAAAAGGTCTGGACACTCCAATATTGGTTCTGTGTTGTCAGGTGCTCAGCTTCTGTCGAGCTGTTTTAGAAGATAAGTAGCTGGGATCGCTGTTTAAACTAGTCATTGGGTGTTCTCTTGGGCACAAAACAAAAATCGATGGCGCTCAATGCAGGAAATTCTGGTTTGTGATTCACAGACTGATTCCACTAAGGTGAAGAAATCACTTCACAGGGAAATGGAACCCAGTGAGAAGGAAAAACCAACGTCAGTGACTGATGACAAGGGAAAGCCGGCCACACTGTGGACACACCCCCAGGGAACAGAGCTTTCTGCCAATCTACTCCCTGTTTATTAAAGCTAACGAGCGGACAAATCATAGAAGCCAGGGTCAAAAGACCAAGAAGTGCTGTGTCAAGAACCCAAGCGTTCAACTGTTACCCCGCAATGGCAGCCGCTCACACTCCTTCCCAGGGGACTCTACAGCTGCAGGAAGGACACACACCAGTGTGCCTTCGCTCCCTGCTGGTCCTGGGGGAGATCCTGTAGACTGTGAAGAATATGGACGTGCTCAAGTCCTGTCTAAGGTACTCCCCGGCTGGAAAAGTACTTGCTCTGTAAGCACAATAAACCAAGCTCTATCTCCAGAAACCATGTTTAAAAAAAGCTGGGTGTACTCACTGGCTAGCTAGTCTAATCTACGTGATGAGTACCAGGCCAGTGAGAGATCCTGCCAAAAAAAAAAAAAGGGTGCCCACTGACTCATCTCCCAGCCCAGAAATTGTTACAGGAAATTTACTTTAGCGATACCAACGTAAATCATGTAATATGGAATTATACAGGTACAAGAGGAAGTGGTGGGAAGAAAACACATCACTGAGCAGGCCCTAGGCGTGACCAGGTCAGGAGGACAGTAGGCTGCTAATAGGGACCAGGCAGTCTACGCAGTAAAGGGAATTGGGGCAGGGGAGCAGGAGAGTCCATGAAGGGATCATCTGAAGCAAAATACACTCCTGCCATCCTGGGACCGAGGCCGACTGCTGCCAGATCTTCTGATTTTCACCAGAAAAAAATGAGTTGTAATTTCTTGTGTTTTAAATTTCACAAACGAAAACATTCCATAGCCAACCCATTACTTAGAAAGCTGACCAAAAAAATGGGAACAAACCAAGCATTTAAATGGGCTTTATAAACCACATCACTGGGTAAGCAAATACAGGATGGAAAGTTTTTCTCTACAGACATACAAGTTAAGCACTAGCTGTGGTGCACACTTGGAATCTCACACTTAGGAGGCTGAGGCAGGAGCACTGTTGAGTTTCAGGCCAGCCTGGGCTACCTGCTGAAACCCTGTCTCAAAAAAAACAAGAGGGAGGGGGTCCAGGGAGAAGAGAAGAATATTTCAGCTAAAGAACGAGAAAGGAGTATCAGAATGCTGTTTTAGCACTATAATTAATTACTAGACTTAGGCAACCGATAACAATCCCCCAGAGACAAACAATATCGGAAGCATCCGAATGAAGGACAGAACAAGGCAGCACCTGGGTAGCCAGGCCAAGAAACAGAATCTGATAAAAGGGATGTAGCAAACTAAATGTCTGCAGGAAATGGAAGAGAGGATGATGCGAAACACACCAAAGGAATATTAATTGAAAACTCCTAGAAAAGGGACAATGTTCTCGGGACAAGCTAATTCTTCCACAAAGCTGTGGCATAAAAGAGAGGAACAGGCAAGCAAGATGGCCCAGCAGGTAAAGGCCGCCAAGCCTAATGACTTGAGTTCAATCCAGGGACCCACATGGTGGGAGGAGAGAAATGACTCTGAAAGCTGTCCTCTGACCTCCAGATGGGCACTCAGGCATGTATACACCCTCACACACATGCTGAATAATCTTTTCTTAGAGATTGAAAAAAAAAAACAAAAAACAGAAAGACTTAAAATTATATGTATGAGACTAATAGAAATTTGAACATTAACTATTGAACTCTGTTCAATTTTTAGGGGATACTGTACTTATGTGTTTTTTAAATTTGTTTTAGAGATACTAAAATATAAAGATGTCATGGTGCCTAGAGCTGCTTTATCTTAATCTGCTGGGAGAGTGGATGGGGAGGCAACGGCCCCCATCAGCTGGTGGTTACTGGGGCCCATTACACCACTCTTGCTTCTTGTGGTACTAAGGAGTGAACGCAGACCTTACAAAAGCTAGGTAAATGAACTACCAGCAAACACATCCCCGGCCCTGTTATTCTGAGGCAAGGTCTTAGGAAGATACCTAGGCTGATGATCTCATTCTTAGCCCAGACGGGACCTGAACTCGTGAACCTCCTGTTTCAGCCTCTCAGTAGCTGAAATTACAGGCTTTCACCTGCACCCTATGTGTATTTAAAAGTTAAATAAAAAGTTTGGGTGTGTGGGGTGTGTCTGCAGGCTGAATGCTCCTCCTGGCCGTCACTCTGCAGCTTTTGTGCCAACTTTTGTTCAACACTATAAAGCTACAACCCCCAATATTTTTATGGCTTCCAATATGGAAAGGGAGGCGGATGGAGGTTAAGTGACTCCTGTGTATTTTCTGAAGTCCCAGTTCCTTGTTTCTGGACACAGGGTCTCATTCTGTAGCCAGGCTGTCCTCAGACTTGGCCTAAGTCTACTTACCTCCTACTCAGCCTCCTGCCTTACTTAGTCTCTGGGAGTATAGACAGCTATCAGCTGCCACTCATGTGTCTTTCTGTTTGTCTGTCTGTCTTTCTTTCTTTTTTCCATTTTTTAAGATAGGATTTCTCTGTGTAGCCTTGGCTGTCCTGGAACTCACTCTGTAGACCAGGCTGGCCTCGAACTCACAGAGATCCGCCTGCCTCTGCCTCCTGAGTGCTGGGATTAAAGGCGTGCGCCACCACCCACTGGGCCACTCTCAACTTTCAAGCCAAACTCGAATCACTTCACAAAGCCTTCTTGGACCAACTCACACCATTCTTGTACCTCCTCCAATGAGCTTATTGGTGTAAGGTCCTCCCAAACCCGAGTACATCAGAGCTGGGTGCAGAAAGATATGCTACTGAGGAGTCACTGTTCACTGTACATGTGTTATGCACCATACCAGCTCCCCACACACAGACCACAAGCTTCCAATATCCTTGTAAGCTTTTCATTCTCCAGGTGAGAACACTGGAACGAAGAAGTTACATAGCTTGCTGGACTATAAAGCCCCTGACGCGGCACTGGATGAGCCGTCCATTTCACTACTGAAACAATTGAACTTCAACACAAACTTTAAAAAAAAGGTCACGGCCGGGCGGTGGTGGCGCACGTCTTTAATCCCAGCACTCGGGAGGCAGAGCCAGGCGGATCTCTGTGGGTTCGAGGCCAGCCTGGGCTACCAAGTGAGTTCCAGGAAAGGCGCAAAGCTACACAGAGAAACCCTGTCTCGAAAAACCAAAAAAAAAAAAAAAAAAAAAAAAGGTCACATACGAGCGATGCCGTCCATTCTCAGTAACTCACAGTAGAAGCTGTCCACATCCGAGAAGAGACACGCCTAGACTGCAGACTACCTGATAACTGAGAGGGGCGGCAGCCGGCGTGAAGAGATGTCAACATCACAGAGGACAAGGTAGTGATGGAGCCTCAAAAAAAGAACCCAGAAGTCTTCAGAGAGATGAGGTACAGTGGCCCTTTGTGGCCTACAGCCCAGAGGTGAGGTAAAGTCAGAGGAAAGGAACCAAGCCTTCCAGACCTCCTTTCTCCTCGTCACCCCCATTAATCTGTGCACCTCATCCATCTCCAGCAACTCCATCGAGTGTCAGGTGATGTGGTGGGTGTTCCAGGGGTCCCAACAATGAGTAAGATGATGATCTGCTGGCCAAAACTTTTAGAACTTGGCAAACAGGACAGGTGACATGGCTGAGCGGCTCCACTTGGTAGAAAGAGAAAACTACTCCAGCCAGTTGTCCTTGGACCCCACATGTGCACCCCGGCATGCATGGTTATCTTTAAGAAATAACAATAAACTCAGTAGTGCTAGCAAGACTGAGGACAGAGCAGTGCCCATCTGCCTGACAACCCTGCCTTGAGAGAATTCTCTCTTTAGAAGTTAATGATCAGCAAGGTCCCAAGGCCTGGGGTCTGGCAGGGAGGTAGGGGTGAGAAGTGTGTGGGTGATGTCAAACACTGGGCAAGAAAGTGACATCAATAACCCAACAT